GTAGAGAGCTGTTGTGTAAAGGTTAAATTACACATGTAAATTGTGTAACACATGAGTGTCTTACAAAGGATTAGTAGCAATAAAATTGTTGTTCAGCTAGGACGATTATCATTTTCTGTAACAAACCCAACCTCTGCCTCAGTTTACATCATTATTTCTGTCAGGTCTGTGATGCTGTCAGTTCCAGCTTTTATCTGCTTTGCCAATTACTGTCTTTAGGTCCCTGGTTCCAAACACCATGATAATGTGTTCTTTAAGAATTATACCTAGGCCAGTGCCGCAGCTCAATAGGCTAATCCTCCGCCTAGTGGCGCCGGAACACCAGGTTCTAGTCCTGGTCGGGGCGCTGGATTCTGTCCTGGTTGCCCTTCTTCCAGGCCAGCTCTCTGCTGTGGCCCGGGAAGGCAGTGGAGGATGGCCCAAGTCCTTGGGCCCTGCACCCCATGGGAGACCAGGAGAAGCACCTGGCTCCTGCCTTCGGATTAGTGCGGTGCACTGGCTGTGGCGGCCATTGGAGTGTAAACCAACAGCAAAGGAAGATCTTTCTCTCTCTCTCTCTCTCTCTCTCTCTCTCTCACTGTCCACTCTGCCTGTCAAAAAAAAAAAAAAAAAAGAATTATACCTAGAATTATATTTTATGGTGAAAAAAACATATGTTTAGAATTAGCCAGGTGGACTCCGTTCAGATGATCCCAATTTTGTCAGCAATGCCCAAAGCATTATGATCAGGAGCCAGCGCACATACGCCTTCTCCTCTCCGTCAGGTCTGATCAGGGTGTTGACTTTGGCCACATCAACGTCATAGAGTTTCTTCACAGCCTGTTTGATCTGGGGCTTGTTGGCCTCAACATCCACAATGAACACCAGTGTGGTGTTGTCTTCTATCTTCTTCATGGCCGAGTCAGTGGTCGGGGGAACTTGATGATGGCTTAGTGGTCAATCTTGTTTCTCCTGGGGGTGCTTTTCCGAGGATATCTGGGCTGCCACCGGAGGTGTAGTGTCTTGGGCCACCAGAACTTGGGTGATGGGTGGATCTTCTTTTTATTGTGGTTGTGGATGCCTTTCAGCACTGCCTTCGTAGCCGTCAAGCCCTTTGCTTTAGCTTCAGCTTTAGGAGGGGCAGGAGCTTTGTTCTTCACCTCCAGTGCCATCTTGGTGAAAAGCTAGAATTATTTATAAATTCAGTGCCAACGATGGAATTTAGAGAGTACTGTTTCTTTCCTTGAGTTCTGGAGGTACTTTTCACATCTTAGAACATTGACCCTGAGACCACCAGTGTCAGGTGTACAAGGAGCAGGTACTGCGTAGTTCTTTAATACCCTCCTCTTGGGAGGTTACAATGACTTTCCAAAAGTCACTTGGTTACCTAAGATGAAGATCTAATGGGAAGATCTTGAACTGTTGACCTCGAATCTGCTAGGGTCTTCTTTTGCCATGAAAGCATTAACTTAGGAGGATTTCAAATGTTAACTTTATATTTCAGTATTGCTTTTGACCATGCAGTTAAAATGTTTACTGGGTTTGTGTTGGCCTTCTAGTTACCCACAGAATACAGGGAGAAGGCAGCACAAATTCCCTTCCCAATTGCTAAAGCGGTTCTTGTCACCAAAACTATCATGTGTTAGATCACACGCCAGTGTCTGTGACACAGCCAGGCCTTAGCTTCTCAGGATCTACTTGTTACAAGTGAGTTTATGTGCCTTGAAGCATATGGCCTTGATATATGATCCCAGAGCAAAAGAGCAAGGTATTTCAAGCTGGCCACAATTTTATTGACTCTCACAGGCTTGCTTTGTAGTCATTCCAATAAACTAGATGAGAAATTTCTGATGCTCCAAGCTATCCAGTCCTCAGGACTCCATTTCATGATTCAGAGTCCAACTAAACAACTCAAGAGCGCTTTTGTGTGACACTGTGACCACAGGGATAAATAATTGCTTCGTAATTCTCTTTGAGGCAGAAAATTCTAAACATGGAGGAACCATTTCCCCTTAATGGGAGCCAGAAATCCTGTAAGTGCTTGAAATGGCATTCACAAGTCTGAATGGTAAACAGATAAAAACAGGAGCGCACCAGTTGCACAAATGACTTGCTTGTCACAAACTTGTCATTGCAGTAATCTAACATTTCTTTCACAGAGCCCGATGGAAAGTATGGAACAAACAGGCCCTGCTGACGTTTTGGCTCTGCTAAGCCTTCCTCCGAGCTAAAGCATCTGCAGCATCTTCCTGCTCTAGACCCTTTATCTGCTGAAGTTAGCTGATACTGTACATGTCACAGAAATGTTTGACTATTGCATTAACAAGTGGATGACAAGCAAGTTATTCCTGCAATTGAAATACTGCTGCTTTTAGCAGGCTGCCATTTTGACCTTCATTTTATTATACAGAAAAACCCTAACAGAAGTGAGCACCAAGGAGATACCAGTATTATTGTCCCCGGCCTGTTCAGATTAGCAAGGACCACCTGTCTCAGGCTTTAGCATGGTGATGTAATGGGCATCCTATGCAGTTCCATGGGAGTTATGGATGGGATGGTTGTGAACACATTAAACTATCCCATGAATTGCTCTTACAGGGGTAAAATGAACAGCACAGAAATTCATTTCCTCCCACATCCTCTTCCCCTGCACATATGCACACACACACACACATATGCACACACCTGAGTATGCTTTGTAGACTGTTAATAGCTAGGAAACTTCAATGAAAATTGTGTAAATCAGCTATACACAAAGTTTTTGCCAGCTCTTACATTTCCTCCTATTGATAGTCCACCCTAACGTCCTTCTGATTCAGCATAATATCTAGAACTATCTAAAACTAATCAGAGGTAGGATTTTATCCCATGAATAGTGCAGTTTCTCCATGAGCCTCCTCACAGAAACCTTAGGCAGCCGGGTCTCATACAAAACCGTATCGTCTCCAGCCCTGGCTGCCAGCAGGGAGTGCTCATAGGCTGTGCAGCTTCTGACCTTGCCTTTCTATCTGAGGAGCCCGCCTCCCATATGGGACCCACCCTGTGTTCCCCAGGGGTACAGTCCAGTGGAGCCCGCCTCCCATATGGGACCCACCCTTGTGTTCCCCAGGGGTACAGTCCAGTGGGCCCAAGCCTTATCAGCACACAGAGCCTAGCCAGAGCCTGTAATAGGAGCTTTGCCTGTCTCTTGTCCCCTGCCCAGCTTTCTGCTTGTGTTGGTGCCATAGGCATATCTACTCTAGAAATAGTGGAGCATTTGCCCTAAGACTTTGGCCTTTGCATAAAGCTGAGCTTCTAGCCCTCACCAAGGTGTTACGTGCTTCATATTCTCTTTAGGCCTGTCACCTCTGTTTACAGATGCACTGATAGTGTCTTGTCTGGTTTAAATACTGACATGGAAAACTCATATTCTCCAGTTTATTTTCTGGCCTAGGTAGTTTCATTTTAAAAAGCCTCGTGTGAAAATTATTATTCAGCCATGAGAACCAGATTTCTTGCCAAAGTCATGGTAGGGCTTGACTTTCTTTTAGACCTGGCTGAGTGACCAGAGTACTGTCTCCCAGGTGAAAGGTTTTGCTACCATCCCCACTATCTCAGGCTATAATCTATACCTTGGCTTTGTTGAACAACTAACTACTTCAGGACAGGTGGAAAGGGTATGAGAAGAGGGTCCTGTTTTTCACACAGTTGAGGATATTGTCCCTGGGAAAGGAAATGAAGACAGTTTGAGGCAGCACATAAAGTTCTGCAGAAGAAAATATGTGAATGAACAATTCAAAATTTAAATGGAGTTTTACTGACTTCTTCTTTCTTTTTAAAGTTCTTAATAGGATTTCCATAATGATTTTTTTGTTTTCTTTCTTAATAGAACTTTAATGGCAAAGAAATCATATGCTATTTTTGATTCAGAAAAAAATAAAAATCTTTTTCATGGGAACTCTCTTTTTAAATACACATCAGGGAATAGATAATGGCAACCAAAAAAAAAAAAATAGAGAAAGAAATCTTCTCTCTTCCTATTCAGAAATATGGCTGATGTGTGAGTGTGTGTGTTTAGTATTTTATTGATTTTATTGCATATTTGATTATTTGTCTATTATATTTTAAGGAGATAAATAAGAAAAAAGTCTTATGCTGGATCATTTTCACTAGATTTGTATAACTTTAAAGCTGGAAAGAAGTTTAATGATCAGACCATGGTTTTGTATCACACTTTAGAGATAAGGATGCTGAAACCCAAGGATCTTCAGTTAAGGGAATGAATTCATACAGGAGGCTTGTGGCAGAGCCAGGCCTTACATTAAGATCTCACTACCAACTCAGGCAATATCCTTATAGATTATGTTACATTTTTAAAGTTTTCTTTTAAGCAAAGACAGTCACATTTTAGTAATTAACCTTGATGTGCTTTAATCTAACAATGTCTTTGTTATTGCAGGAACTAGGACTTTATACTTTTTAAGCACTCCCCACCTCAGCCTACCCCAACTAAAGAATATACATTTGAACAGTTTGAAGACATTTCTTCTAACCTGTGTTTTATCTGAGTAGCATAAGGAATCTTTATTTCAATTTGTTTTTCTCTATTAAGATGTCAAAGAAACAATCCATTTCCATTTTGGTATCTGAAAACATTTTTTTTTAAAATAGTTCTGTTCCTTGTTTAATAAGTATTCATTTAAGTAGGTCAAATTCTAACATTCTTGGAGGTAAAAAGAAATCTTTATCGGATTAAAAGAAATCTGTTTTATATTCCCACTTTTAGCCATGTTTGAGTTGGTTCTTAAAATTGTTAGTTTCAACAAAACACTGATTAAGTCAAAACATCAATGTTTTTGTTTGTTTGGATCTTTTTGTTTCATACAAGAGAAAAAATAAAATATGCATTTACCTTTTTGCAGCTATGATAATTATATACTCTATTTTTCATTTATGCAAAACTTATTTTTGAGGGTTTTTTTTGTTTCATTTCTGTTTTTGCATTTTCCAAACATCTGTACCGTGGCTGGTGGCGAGAGTAGCAGTGGCTGGCACTTTTCCTCCACACTGTGAGACAAAGAGAATTGGCTGGAATAAAACCTTGCTTTCCATATGGTCAACTTGAAATGCAGCATTGAAAAGGTATTGTCTACTTTTCTTTCCTGAAACCCCAGGTGAACCCCACAAGCAAATAGCAGTTTTGATGCCAAACCACTTGTTGATTCATAGTAGAAAAGACCTTGGCAACACATTCTCCCCACTTTATCCTTTTGAAAACCTAAATTGATGATATTGGTGTAATTGTAGTGTCTGACTATATCTGCAATATATGCCTCTGGTCACTCACTCAAGGAAGTCTATGATTCTATGCATAGTAAAAAAATGAAGTGAAAGTTTTCCTTTTGACTAAAAAAAATGATCACTTTGTGTGTTTGGTGGTGATATGCTTATTCATCCCTGGAATATTGAGATCTATTGTGAGGGCAATGAAAAGATGATGTTAATGCTTTCCTTTACCTTGATTAATTCTAGCTAGGACAAACAGTGGACTTTGTCTTACACATGTTTGTAATGTAAAGTATTTCAAACACATGAAAATATATAAAATAATATGAAATACAAGGTAATACCCTGCTAACACAAATCTGAATAATTTGGAACATTTGTCACTGAACCTATTTTAATCTTTTATTATTCCATTATAAGTTACCAACAGTGAAGTAGACAAATTGGGTATGTAGTTTGGGGAGCTTAGGGATACGGCTGTGTGTTAACACCCAATCCATGGTACAGAACATTTGCAATACTTAAGAAGTTTTTCCTGACCCCCTTGGAGGTGATAGTCTCCAAAGCTTTAATAAAAGGTTGAATATAATCAAAATTCCTCTGAGCTTTAGCATGATGAATTCATTTTAGGTAAGCCATATATTCTGGATTATTAAAAAACATGTATTCCTCTGTACATATAACTAAAATTTAGTGATCGATTCTGTCATTATTAGACATTATTTCCAATGTTTCCCACGTACCAGCAATGTTGTAGTTAATATCTTTACCCATGCATGTACATAGAAGTGGACTTGGTTATCTTTAACAAATAGGCATTTTAAACTTTATCAAGTATTGCAAAATTTCTTCCAGAGTGGTAGTATCAATTTATATTCTCAGTAGCAATCTTTGAGAGCTTCTCCACATGTTTCTCAACATTTGGAATGGTCAGACTTGTTGAAAATTTTTCCAATATCATGGGGATTAGATAATATCTCACTTAAAATGCTTCCCTTTGCTTTGCCTATTTGCATTTTTACCCTCTTTCTTTTGGGTTGTTTTGCTATTGTTATTTTGGAGAGTTTTTGGTTTTGGTGTTAGTTGTGATAATCTGGATTTTCACCCTTACACTTGATCTTAGCCAAAAGGCCGAGAAGCGATGGATTTTCACCCTTTAAAGTTGAAATTTACAAATATCTCTTCCTAATTTCTCTTTTAACTGTGTCTTTAGTAGCATTTATTTTTCAAAGATTATAGTTTTAATGAAGTAAAATTTATTAATATTTTCCTTCATGTGCTTTTATGTCATTTAAGAACTCCTGCCATATGCCAAGGTCATAAAGAAACCTTGCTGTATTTTCTTCCAACAGTTTTAAATTTTTGCCTTTTACATGTAAATCTCTAATCTTCGTGGAATTTATTTTTGTTTATAGTATGTTACATGCACCCCTATTTTATTATTTGTCCTTATGGATAACCCAGTTATCCCAGCGCCATTGAATGAATTAGTCATCTTTGGCCAAATAACTTGTAACTTCATCATCTACATCAAATCTGTTTTTAGGGTCTTTTTTCATTCAGTGGACGGTTTTTCTCTCTCTCTGCTAACACCATAGTGCCTTAATTTCTTAGTGCCTTAATTACCAGAGTTTTATAATACTCTTATTATTTGGTAAGATTTTTTTTCCTGTTAAAATTGTCTTGATTCCTCCTAGTCTTTTGCTATACAATATGAATTTTAGTGCTAGTTGGTCAAATTTCACAAAAATCTTGCTGAATTTTACTTGTTACAAAATTAACTTCAGAAAGTAATCAGGCCTTTCTCTCTGTCTCTCTCTCACTGTCTAACTCTGTCAAAAAAAAAAAAAAAAAAAGAAAGAAAGAAAGAAAGAAATCAGGATAGAATTGACATTTTTAAATATTTGCTTTCCATCCATTAACTATATCCCTGTACTTACTCAGATATTTCTTCACGTTCTATAATAACATTTTATAATTTTTGCCACAAAGGTCTTGAATCTATTTTGTTAAATTTCTTCTCTTACAACTTAGACTTCAATACTGTTCTGTGCAGGATCTGTTTTACTTAGTACTGTTCATTGGTTACCTTTGGTGTATATCTGGAAATTGGCTGAACTCTCTTGTTATTTCTAACAGCTAAACATAAAATTTTCTGAACTTTTCTATGTGTGTGTGTATATATATATATTTACTATATATATATAGTAAATAATGACAGTTATGATTCTGAAGTGTTCAATTTATTTTTCCTGTCATATTACATCATTAATCCTCTATATAGTATTAAATAGAAAGAATGATATTAGGAATATCTATTCAGTTTCTTACTTCAATGCAACTGTTCTGGAAACATGATGTTTTTTTGACATTTTGAAAGTCAAAATGATTGTTAAGGAAGTTCCTTTGACCCATATATAGTTTGCTAAGCATTTTAAATCAAGACTCCTAGTTAAATTTTATCTGATTCATTTTCTGCATTAATATTATCAAAGTATCCTGCTAATAAATTTATATTGTATGTGATATTTCCTGATGTTAAACCTATTTTACATTCTTGAAAAAATTCTATTTGGTGTGTGTGTGTATATATATATATTTATATATATATATATATATATATATATATATATATATAAAGATTTATTCATTTATCTGAAAGGCAGAGTTAAAAGACAGAGAACTGGGATTGGTCCAGGCTGTAGCCAGGAACCAGGAACTCCACCCAGGTCTCCCAAGTGGGTAGCAGGGTCTCAAGCACTCAGGCTGTCTTCTGCTGCTTCCCCAGGTGCATTAACAGAGAGCTGAATGGGAGAAAGTTGGCATCACAGATGGTAGTTTAACCCTGTGTGCCACAACACCAGCCCTGTGTATTCTTTTAACACATTAAGCTTAATTTACTAATATTTTATGTATTTTGTTTGCATAGGGAGATTTGTCTTTAATTTCCATTTTTGAAAACTGTTTTTGTAGAGTGTGATATCATAGAAATACTAGTCTCTTAAAATAATATTTGAGTTGAGAAACATTTCAGTTTTTTCTATTTCCAAAACGATTTGTTTTGTTTTCTATAGGCTTTACCTGTAGGCTTTACCTATTCTGAATATTTGGTTAAACTTGCATCTAAAATCATCTGGACTTGGTACATTTTATCAATAGGGAGTAGGTAATTTAGAGTAGATTGTTAATTATCAATTCAATTTCTTCCACAGTTACTAGCTTATATAAGTATTCTATTTCTTCTAAATCAATTTTGTTATATTTTTAAGAAAAATAAACAGTTCACAGTTCAAATTTATTTGCTTAAAGATATTCATATAGTCTTTAGATATTTTCAATTTTTTAATCTATATGTTCCATTCTTATTCCTAATAATTTTTATGCTGAACCTTTTCTTTTTCTTAGTTACTAAGCATTTCTCTATTTCATTTACTTTTTTTCAAGAAGTGGCTTTTGATTTTGATTTTTAAAATTGTATGTCATTGCTTCCTTTTTTATTGGCAGTACTTTCTTCCTTCTACTTTTTTTTAGGCCATTTAAATTTTTCTATATTCTTGAATTTGATTATTAGTCATCTAATTTAGTAATTTTTATTATTTTTAAGAGTGAATTTCAGATTCTGGATTTTCCCATTACAGGTCATCAGTTTTGTTGGTGTTGTGTTTAAAAGTTTATCTTATCATTTCTTTGAAATGTTGTCAGATGTGGGTTTATTTTAAATTATCAATCACAAACTCAGGATTCACTCTTTAATTTTAGGATTCTAATTCTAGAAAATTCTCAGCTTTGTCATAATCTCTATCATCTTCTGAAATTATTAAAAGATATATTATATATTGGTTTCCTAGTAATTTACCATATCTCAACTTCTCTCACATTTTTAATTTACCATATCTCAACTTCTATCTCATTTTTTTTTAAGATTTTATTTACTTACTTGAGAGGTAGAGTTACTGACAGAAAGAGGGAAGAAAGGTCTTCCATCTGCCGGTTCAATCCCCATAGCTGGGCAGATCCAAAGCCAGGAGCCAGGATCTTCCTCTGAGTCTCCCACGCAGGTGCAGGGGCCCAAGGACTTGGGCCATCTTCCACTGCCTTCCCAGACCAGAACTGGATCAGAAGAGGAGCAGCCGGAACACAAACCTGAGCCCATATGGGATGTCAGCGCCCTAGGCAGAGGCTTAGCCTATTACGCCACAGCACTAGCTCATATTTCATTTTTTAAATGTATTTTCCTTTCTGAGATTTTTTTTTCTAAGTGAATTCCTTGACATCATCTTCCAGCCCACTTAATTCTCTCCTTAAAAGTGTTCCATCTTAAGTTTCCCATCTATGAACTTTTTTTTTTTTTTTCTCTTTGTTTAAGCTGACAGGCAGAGTGGACAGTGAGAGAGAGAGACAGAGAGAAAGGTCTTCCTTTGCCATTGGTTCACCCTCCAATGGCCGCCGCGGCCGGCGCACCGCGCTGATCCGATGGCAGGAGCCAGGAGCCAGGTGCTTTTCCTGGTCTCCCATGGGGTGCAGGGCCCAAGCACCTGGGCCATCCTCCACTGCACTCCCTGGCCACAGCAGAGAGCTGGCCTGGAAGAGGGGCAACCGGGACAGAATCCGGAGCCCCGACCGGGACTAGAACCCGGTGTGCCGGCGCCGCTAGGCGGAGGATTAGCCATCTATGAACTTTTATGTCAATGAACCTGTTTTTCATTCTTAAGATTTCTGATTGTTTTTATGATTTTATCTGCCTATTTTTATTTTATTGATTATCTTTTAATTTAATGATTAATTATTCTTTTATGGATGATAGCTTTATTTCTGAGCATCTCAAACATGCTCCTGTTGAGGTCACTGTCAGATAA